GTCGGGTCCCCAGAGGGGGGCAGCAGGACCAAAGGGGCCGTAGCTGCAGAGGAACAGACAGAGGCCAGCACCCCCCAGCCCTCACCGCCCACCAAACAACTACAGTTTTGATCATTTACAGCTTCTTACACTCATGCCCGAGTTATCCCCATAGCCACCTGGGAGTGCAGCCCAGCGGAACCCCACAAATTAAGAACCCAGGGTGCAGAAACAAGCCATGCCTGAATCCAAACTTGGGGGGCCCCTTCAGGCACCTGCTGAGCACCTGGCTTAGAGGCAGCAAGTTGGCCAGACTGGGACCACCCCTTTCTGATAAGCTTTCATCAGAACCTCAGAACCCTGTTCGGAGAGTACCACCGGGCAGCAGGGTGGGAGAGGTGACTTCTGCTGTCCAGATGGTGGATGCAGGCCTAGCCCAGGACGCACACCTGGACAGCCATGGCCCACCGAAAGAGGAGCTAGGTTCTGACAGCAGCCCAAGCGGGAGAGGGAGGAAGCCAGGCCTGGCTAGAGGGGTGCACCCATCCCCCACCTTGCCTTCCTGCTAGCTGGGAGCCTTGGAGTTAAAGCTTCCCTGGGGCTCCCCCAGGGCCAGGTCCCAGCAGACTGCAGTGTAGGGTATCAGCTCTCATCTGTTTTTCTTGCTATTTTCTCCATGGTGGGAAAGGGCTGCGCACAGGACCTTGGTTGAGGTGGGGCAGGTTCTCACAGGAAGGGCTGTCCCCAAGCGCGGAGAGGAAGACTCACCTTTCCCCACATATGCAAAAGAAAAGCAGAGTCTGCAAAGCCTGGGGAGTGCAGGGCTAGGGCATGTTCAGTGTGCCTCCTGGGCTCAGAAGTCCCCTTCCCAGGTTGGGGTCCGAGGCCTCACACCTCCAGCCTGACAGGTGGCCGGCTGCTCACAAGCGTGGCAGGGGCCGGTGGATGCCGAGGGGAGAGATTTTAAAGAGACTCAAACCACATTGCAGCAGGCCCAGCAGCTCCTGCAAGATGTCATGAAGCCACCGGCCCCACTGCCCCCACTGGGACTGAATCCCACTAAGGACAAGACACTCCTTTTGGCTAAGACTTGCCCTCTGGGGAGCATGTTTTCCAAGTCAAGGGAACACCAGCTCCACCGTGTGCTTTGGCTCATGAGTCTGTATCTTTGCATTCTGTGACTCAGGAGAAGAGAGGAGGAGAAGAGAGGACAGGGCTGCAGGGCTGAGGCCCAGGCAGGCTGCATACACGCATCTCACAGCCGCCCAGAGGAGCTTCTGAGAAGTTGGGGGAGGGGGGTGCTGGGACGGGAGGAAGGCTTCAAGTCCTGCATCTAAAGGGCAGGACATGGGGCCTTGCTGCTTCCCTGGACACCCTGGCAGGGCTGTCAGAGGAGAGGAGGGAGGTCCTGGAGGGGGAAGGAGGTGGGCACCCCAAAATAAAAGCTAACAGATCAAGAACAAAAAACGATGCTAACAAGAGTTAACATTCATTGCAGACAGTCCCAGGAGTTATAGTTCCTTTCATTATGATGATTGTTCTCATTTTCTAATTGTAGTAACAAAGACTCAGCGAGATTACAAAACATGTCCAAGATCACCCAGCCATCTAGAGGCAGGCCTGGAATTTCTAAAACTGAGGTCTGTCCTAGTCCAAGCCGGTGCTGCCACTCCGGGAAGACAGAGGACCTGGGTTTGGAGGGCGGAGGCAGGAGCCCCAGGAGGCAGGAGCCTCCCTGGACTGAGGCATCCGGAGGACGCTGCTGGACCTGCCTGGGAGCCTCCCTCCTCCCTCCTGCCAACTCCTTGCAGCCCTCAGACTGAGCTGTTCCCTGATGGAATGGCCTGGCCATCAGTCCTGGACGCTGGAGTGGCCAGAAGACTGTCCCTGTTCATCATAGCTGGTCACTGAGTGCCTTGGGTGCTGGGTAATAGTGGCAACTTCTGGAATATGAAGAGAATGGGTTCTCGGAAAGGTAACACTCTAGAGGCAGGCAGACAGGACACAGAATCATGACAAACGGGTGATTCCAGCAAGTAATAGAAAGACTAAACAGGTAGCCTTGAGAGCGAGCAGCAGGGCTGCGGGCTTGGGGGGAGGGGGGCTGGGGAGGGTCTCTGGGGAGGACACACTGCACCAGCAGGGAAAGACAGGGCAGAGGGCAGCACAGGTAGAGACTCCGAGGCCAGAGTGGCCCCTGGAACACAGCAGTGAGGGCAAAGTTCAGAGCTGCGGTCAGGGATGGTCACGAGGCTGGGCTGGTACAGAGCTTCCAGGATTTGTTCTAAGTGCAGGGAGTCACTGTAAGCAAAGGAGTAATATAA